TGTAGGCTGAACTCTAGGTATTAGGATTTTTTTTTTTTTGACAGGGTTCTCATGTTGCTCATGTTGGTGTTGAATTTGCTGTGTATCTAAGAATGACTGTGAACTTCTGAGCCTCTTCCCTTCACCTTCTGGGTGCTGGGATAATAGGCCTGCACTACCATGCCTGGTTTATGTGGTGCTGGGGACCTCAAACATGCTAGGCAAGGACTCTTTACCACCTGAGCTATATCCCCAGCCCCAGGCATTACAAATTCTAAAGAATCAATAAATTTTAGTTTGCCTCAGGAACTCTCAGTCTAATATCTTGTCATCAAAAAATTATATATTTGTCTAGGGGGCTGGAGAGATGGTTCAGCAGTGGCTGCTGTTGCAGAGGACCTGGGTTCAAATCCCAGCATCCACATGATGGCTAACAACCATCCCTAACTCCAGCTCCAGGGGAATTTGGTGTCTTCTGACCCCCACAGGCATTGCATGACACGGGTGCAATTACATACATGCAAGCAATACACCCATACACATAAAAAATAAACATTTTTAAATTATATATTAATTATATATTTATATCAAGCTCATTGTGATAATGGACTCATTGTGTTAGAGATTGGGACTTGCCACTTACAAAGAAAGGAAACAGACCTGAGGCTGTGGCTGGAACATTTAACTTTGAGGGACAAAACCCACAGGGATATAGTTTTGCTTTTTTAGCATTTGTTGGCCTGACATGCTTATTCTGTATTGTTGTAGGGAGACAAATTCTCTCTGGGTCCTGAATGCTCCTGTTCATTCTGCAAGCAAGGCACTGACTGCCCTTTGCTCCACACTACATTTTTAAGAATGTTCATACAGTCAACAGCCTTGGAGCTAATGTCTCCCTTTGAACAGAGGGCAGACAGACTTACCCCCGATGATAGGGTCACAGTCTCTGTCCTGTGTTATAACCTATTATGCCTGCAGGTGTCACCCAGCGCTCTTCTCATTGTTCTGTAGGAATTGGGGTGTGGGGATCCCACTTAACAAGGCAGATAATTCTGGCACCTGCAATTACTGTGAGTAATAAACTGTCCTTCACCTCTGACCTGAGTCTCATGCTTTCAAGCAGTACCTGGAAATTGTGCAGACAGACTTGTCAATTTGCAAGGATAGAAAAACAAAGCCTTCAGAGTTTTTGATGGTCATCTTCAGATTATTTTTCTCTTGTTCGTGGAGGAGCTACAGGAGAGTCTAAGTCTGTAATTAAAATCTAGTCAGAGAGCTTTGTCAAACAGGTGGGAAAAGAGAGGAAAAAAGAACCCACTGCATTAAGTTGGGTCTATGTCTTTCATTAATTATGGAGGCCAAGATATTACACAGCATGGATTAAGAATGGCAGAGGGCTTGTTATCAAGGACACAGACTACTTACAAATAGGGTGAGATGGACAATTGGCTACAGCTGCTTTGAAATATACCAAACAACAAAATGGCATTGTGAAACATGTATTTGCAACTTAAAGAACACAGGCACACACACACACAAACACATATACACATACACACACGCACACACACACACACACACCCACACGGGGGGGGGGCTATAGAAGATAAGAGAATGGAGAAACCTCAACTCTTTTGCTTTTATTCTGAAAATTATGATACAAAAAGACAGTAAGAAGAAACCAGAGTCTCCGTCCAAAGAAGATTAAGAGAGCAGCAAGGGTTCTCCATTTGTCTGACCTGCTTTGTAATTTTATCAAAGATTTGCACAGAGGTATATCAGGCTGTCTTACCAAGTCTGTGGATGACTCAAACTCAGAAGGCTAAAGAGAGAGAAGCAAGAAGGTAAAGGGATGTTGAAAAACAAAGTGCATGCAGATGTGGGTGCCTTTACCACCTTCATTAGTGGTAAAGGCTTGATAAAGACAGTCTTCATGCTTGAAAGAGCAAAACCTTGTAGGGAGTATTTTACTGTCTACGTAGTTGAGGATCAGATACCCAAAGGGGAAGACTCTTCTCTCTGGTTTTCAGAAGTCTTGAAAAGCTAAGATGCTCATATGTGAATCTCTTGTAGATGATATAACACAAGATGGAAAGAGACTGGGTTCCTGGATTGTGGCTTGAAGGAGAGATGCCCAGAAGAGCCATTTGCACCTGCATATTAGCTACTAAATGAGGCAAGCATGTTTAGGACAAAAATCCTGTGTTCACGCATCTTTAAAGTATCCGTTCCTCTTTCAGCTGAAACCTTATGATGAAAGCTGAGGACACCCAGAGGTATCCCTGTCTGCCATCATTATGATTAGAGCTGAACATGCCCAAGTATTCCCAAGTGCCCTATTAACCATTTGAACACATGCTCTATAACCTTATTTTGAGCATGCGCCACACTGTGTCAGCCATTTTCCCTTTCTGAATTATGACCTGAGGAGGAGCATGCTCAGGAATGTCGTGTTGTCCCTCAAGTACTTCTCTATATGATTACATACAGTCTCCCAGACTCAATTTCTTTGTTGAAGTCCCAAAAGGCACTGCTTTCAAAACAACTTCTGTGCTCCTCTTATCCTCTGGAGTAGTCTTTCTCCACTCTTACTTCTTGGCTGTGCTAAGCTGCAACCCACTTGAAGATGCAGTGTAATGAGAACTACAGAAACAGATTTTGTTGTTGTTGTTAACCCTACAAATTTGGTATTGTTCCTCCTATTCTTCCAGTTCATATTATTCCCTCATTTTATTCTGATGACGTTTTTGAAAGCTAACATTTAAAATGGATTTGTGTTTCATATTTTTGACAACAAAATGCATTTAAAATGAATTTTAATGATGTTAATTCTTTACATATTTCTCCTAGCTTAAATATTTTTAAGTCTTTATTTTATTGTATTTTATCTTATGTGGATGGGTGTTTTGCCTGCATGTATTCCCCAAAGGACAGAAGAGGGCATTAGATCCCTTGGAACTGGAGTAATGGACAGTTGTTAGCCTTCATGTGGGTGCTGGGAACTGAACCTGGGTCCTCTGCAAGAGCAACCAGTGCTCTTAACCACTGAGACATCTCTCCAGCCCCAATTATTACAATTATTATCATCCAAAGAACTATTTCCTGGGTGGTGATAGATTCAGTCACACATATAAGCTCTGCTGGGTAGTATGTGCTGCCACAAGTTCCTACGTAAATGCAGAGGTTCTGGGCGGAGCTTCCAGGGAGAGATCTTCCATTAAATTGGCTAGAGTGCCACCTAAAAGAAGTTTGATACTTAGGTTGACACTTAACTTTTGAAATTTAGATGTAAATAGTTGCTAAGGCTATAATTTCTAATTCACCTTAATGGTCTTCTGAAAAAAAGAAAATTATCCTTAAATTCTGTGGCAGAACTTTCTTGTATGATGTAATTTATAGCCCTGTCCATGAAGTAATCATGATTTCTGATAATTCTTGGGTTATTTCTGTATGGACTTTAAAGAGATTAAGAAGTGTTGGGACATCTGGGCTCCTCAACAGTTGTCTTAAAAATGTCACCCCCACTCCAGTCATTTTTTGTGAATATGTGTGGTGTCATTTCTTTTTCCTGTCTATCTCTTCAAAAAGGCAGCTGAAAAACTGGGCTGATGAGGTAGCTCTGCAGGTAAAGTGCTTGCCCCAACCTGACAGTGTGAGTTTGATCTCCAGGACCCAGTTAAAGGCAGAAAAAGAAAACTGACCTCCATAGGCACTGTGGCACAGGTGCACCTCCCATCAGTCACAGACACAGTAATAATATTTTAAAAAGAAGAGGATCACTGAATTGGCTGACTCTCTGGGAGCCTCTTCCCTTGAGGCCATTTTAAAATTGAATTTTGACACATGCCAATAAGAAAGTTGTCTAGAAGGACTGATATTTTAAAATAAATTTCTCTCTTTTAAATTATATACAATGGAATCTACATACCACAGTGAATTGATACCTCACATAGTCTACATAAAGAAACATGGGGCTAAGTGATTTTTGATACCTAGAAATTTTACATTTTTCCTTTTTTGCTCAAATTCATCATTTTATCTCCTTATATGGTATTCCTTGCAATTGGTAGCTTAAATTGATTATTATCCTATAATTTTCTACAGAAAAAGCCTGAAGATCTCTGATGTGGAGTTGGGAAGGTGTGCCTGTGGGTGCCTGTCTGGCGCAGCACAGAGTGTATCAGCATCTCACAGCAGGATTTGGAGAGAACAGGTGAGCAGTGTGTCTTCTAAGAGTAGCAGATGACTGAGAAGTGGAGGTGGGTAAGAACTTGACTGACTTCAGGGGTGCTATCAGAGTGACCCATTTATAAAGAGAGCCTGTGAGTGCTAAGAACATCCTAAGTCTTGGAAAGGTTGTTACCCCATGGCTTTAAGTGCAGCATTTTGCAGATCACTGGAAGAAAGGATGGAACCCAGGTGCTGAGTCAGCAGGAACAGGGCCAGACTCCTGCCTTTTGGTAACTGAGAACATGGGCATATTGTTTATCTTCTGAGTCCCAGTTCTGTCCTATGGAGGAGACGCAATACCTACTTTTGGAGGTATAAGAACAGATGGTACTCGGCTCTTGACTCTGGATGTGATGTGACTAGCTATTTTAAGTTCATACTGCCTCAACTTCCCCGATATTATGAATTGTAACTTGAAATTGTGGTCTTAAATAAACTCTTTCTCCCTTGATTTTTGTCAGGGTGTTTTATCACAGCAATAGAAATGAAACTAGGACAGGAATGGAGGCTAGGATCCAGCCATATGAAGAACTCACCAAACAGTGACTCTTTTAGGCTACAGAATTCAAGACCAATCCATCCTGAACCCAGCCTAGACGACTATAGAGACCAAGAAACAAAAAGGGCTCCTTGTAAGGTGATCCTTTAGTTTGGTCTCCAAGGACTTCATTAGAATAGGGTACGTGATGGTTCTACTGGCTCGTTAAGAACACTTTTCCAAAGTCTTGTTTAAAAACGATGTATGGTGGGCATAGCCATATAACACATTATAAACAATTCCAGAGCACAGCCAATATCTCACACTGTACTTTATTTTTCTTCACAAAATTAAATGGACAGACAAGGGAGTTTAATGGCAATGTGACATTTTCCAACAACATAAACAAAGTGCCATTATATTTAACGGTAGCCAACCAGAGACTTACTTTACCTTAACCATGTAAAGTACACTTACCATATATTTTCTTGTATGTACAGTGTTGTAGGTATCAGCCACCCCTAAAGGTATCGATATTAAAAGCAGCCCATGTAAGGTAAAAGTATGAAAATCTTGATAACAAAGCTTTCAATACAAAAACACTTATTTGTACACTTTACTTAAAACAAAAATAACCCCAATAACTGAAAACCAAAGCAAAACTTGGTTGAAAACTTAAGAAGATATTTTAAGAAATCTCCCCAAAGAAAGCTTCTCCAAAAGAAACTGAATCCCACCAACTCTTCAGATGCTGCTGCCTTTGAGGGAAAAGTTTAATGAATGAGCCAGCTGGAGGGCCCTCTGCAGATTTCCTGAATGGGAAGGTACAAGTATTGCTGCATTATTAGTCAACATTCTTGGGATTTCTGATAAGCTAGCCTTTCCATCTTCCATGAATGTTTTTGTCTTCTGTTCTGAACTTGGTACACAGAACAAACACAGGACACTGACTTCAGGTTGTTTTTCTATGACGAACTGCAAAGGTACCATTTGTCCTCCATCTGTTTTTCTTTGTATCCTGTGAGATGCATATTTCATGGCTGTCTAAAGATAGGGAATAGAATGATTCATTGGGTAAGGCTAAGGGACTGGCATGATCATTTACCCAATCCAGTCTCACATTGTTTTATTTGATTCAATATTTATTTTAAAAGTTTGTGTATTGTGTATAATACACATTGAGAAACAGATGTCCCTACTAACTTGAAGGTTGTCATTAAAAAGCCTACTGCTTAAAATGGCAAATTTATTGTTTAAACACTCATTAGACACATCCAACTTGAAACATATGCTACTGCATGGCTTGTGCTAAGCTAGATTTTAAATGGTGCCAGTGCTCTTGAATCGAAATGGACAACAGAACTTAAAAATGATCCTCATTTTTTGCAAAAATAGCCTCCATGGGAACATCACACTGACCCTACAGTTCTGATGTTTCTGGAAACCTTCACACCCTAGTCTAATTTGGGGACTGTTTTACTCCTTTAAAAAGTCTTCATTCCTCACACCCTCATAACAAATGTCCTTTGTCCTATAATAATAATGACATAGAAAAATTCCTGAAAGATCCAAACTGAGTAACAACACAGATCTGATTAGAACTTTCATGAACCTGACAATGTAGAATTGTATTTCTTAAAAAGTGTGTAACCACATTTGCATAGACACCTTAGAGTAAGATCAGAATAGAATTTCAATGGACTCCCTATTTTCCTTAGACTGGTTTATATTCCAATCCTTTCCTGTTTTTTTTTTCTTTCTCTGATAGAGTAGGTATACATTTCTACCTATAAGTGATAAAGTATAAAGATGCCCATTGCTTTTTAAAGTACAATTGGAATTAGAGTTGAAGTGCACATTCATGTATTATTTTAGTATAAATTTAATTACAAATATAGACTATTTGCAGTTTTGACCATTGGATAGATCATCAATGTGAAAGCTAGACATGTATTGGGATTGCCCTAATTATTTACTTTTGATCCTGATTATTATAACTCCTCTGGGTTTATAAGCACTTCCCAATCCCTGCCCTCTAGCCACAGATAGGCTTTTAGACATAAGAAATATTTACTGGTGAAAAAGGTGTGTATGAAGGAAGGCCTCCCCCCAGACATGTGGAGACAAATGAATCAGGTAGAGGATGGAGGCTTCTACTTGGACTATATGAAAATACTTCCTTAAGTACTATACTGAGAATCTCAAGCCTACACACATCTTCAACACCTGCAAAAATCCTCTGAACTTGTTGGTTGCTTCCATCTCTCAGAGTGCCTGGTCAGTGAGGCTTTGGAAACATGGTAAGGTTTTAGCATGTACTTCTCGTGAACCCTTCTTAGAGTCTTTGACCCCAATTTTGGGAGTGTGTATGCTCTATTTTTGCCTGACTTTGTCTGATGTAGAGAAGATTCCAAAGCTTTAAAGAGGATTTGGGGTTCAGGTGTGAAACCCTTCTCAATATGAAATGCACTGGGATGGCTCTCTGTTGCCTAACTGCAAAATAATTGAGACTATAAAAAAATGAGACAGGGGAAAAAAAAAGACTAGTTGAGGCTTTTATATACATTCGTTGCTTCTAACATGTTTTTAACAAGAAAAATGCAACATCAACTACTCTTAGAGCAAGTGTAGCCACAATGCTGTACAGTTCTGGGGTCCAGTGGCTGGGCAAGTTCACCATTAAAATCAGAAAGCAAAATCCTACAACTGAAGAAAACCAGCCAGAACTTAGGACCTATGACTTTTTTTTAATATATATACATTTTTCAAATACTCTGCAAATCCCAGTTTAAACAATAACAACAAAAACAAAAGACAAACGGGTTTATATTAAAAATGTCCGTGTTCTTCATTGTTACTTCTAAAGCAGCTTGGAGGAGCTCGCCACGTGGCGTGTACTGCAAACCGACTCCATTAGAATGATCTTGGCAGGATAGCAGCACAGGGTTGGATAGTTCGTATTCATCACTTAGAGAATGTAAACCTTTCATAAGATAATATTTTGCTTAAAAATTAGAATCATTCAAAAAGGTCTGATCATCCTGTTCCCTGAGGCCTGCTGGGGAGGTCTGGCTCTCCTCGGCAGGCTCCCTGCACCCTCAGTGATGGGAGCTGCTTCTACATTTTAGGAAGGCCCTGAAGGAGAGTCACAGAGATGGGCCCAGGGGAAGAGGGTGGGAGGGCTCCGATGCATCCATGTTGGAACAGGCCATACAAAGCAACTCTCTGAAGACAACATCCTAACCCTTTGCTCTGTTTCCCATCCAGATTTCCAACTGAATGAACCTCATGGGTTTAACCAAACATGCATGCAATCCTAGGTAACATGAGTTAAATGCTTAATTGCCCAGGGACAAGGAAACCTTGAAGAAACAAGGTCAAATGAGCAACAGCTATATCCATCACAGTAAACAATCCCGTGGAGCTACACATGCAGAGAACTCGGTTAAATCAAAGCAGCTGAGGGGCAGCAAAACCCAGACTTGCTTAGGTCCCCCACCTCTTTCAGGCTTATTCTGCCTTTTCAAAAATGCTTTTGAAAGATCAAGAGACAAAAATCTCAAATGGAAAAATTATCTTTTTTTTCTAACAAATATTCTAGAAGCCATAACTAAATACAATTAAAACAATGCTGAGATGCATGTATTCTTTTTGAAAGCAGCTTTCGAAATATCAACCACAGCAATAAACATTAAACAAAGTACATTCCAAAGTTAATACAGATAAATGGTATGGTATATAATGTGATAATGCCACAAAGTTACCCCACAAATGCCTCCAGGCTGATTCTAAACTTGAAAAAAAAAAACACATTTTTTTTTTTCCTTTCATTAGCCAGAGATTTCACTTCTTTTGCTACTCCTTTATAGTTTTCCACCATCGATTTTTTTTTTTTTGGTGTCCCAGGATGCACAGATAATCTCCACATTCCATACATACCTGGAACCTTTTTCCCCCTCCCTCTATCAGGTTTTCAAATAATACCAAACTACAATGACAAGATAATGTTTTACATGGAATTCCATAGACATAGATCATCAAATCCATGACACCTCATTTCAGCGCTTCCGTTAGGATTTATGACCCTCCACAAAGTCATTTAAAGCCTTGCTTTAAACAGGACAGGCCACTAACGCACATGTGTGCATCTGCCAAAAGTGGGGACAGCTTTTCTGGGGTGGAGGCATCTCAGCTCTAACCACCCCTCTGGGCAGGCAGAGCACCTGCTTTCTCTCCTCAGCAGTGATGTCTCAGGAAGAGTCCTGGTTCCAAGCCACAGACGAAGCAGGCTTTCCTGGCAGGCCTCATGGGAATAGGCCCCAACCCAGTGTGTCTCACTATTGCTCTTCTTGCCATGGATTTCTGAGTTTTGTCAGCTACAAGTCATTTGGGGACCAACCACTGTTCCAAACCCTACGAGGAGGCCAGTGAGGGTCCTGGCTCAGAGCCAGGCCTAGGCCTCAGAGCTGGGCTACAGCTGGGTAGGTTCTGCAGGCATTGGTCTCCTAAAAGCAGGCACTTGTGGCCGCCTGATTCTCTGGGTGACCCCATTCTTCCTGATGCTGATGAAGTCACCAAACGTCCACTTCTTCAAATCAAGAGGATTCTGTTTCTTACTCAGACAGAGCAAGTATTGGAGGAGGGCTGGGTGTATCCAAAATATATGAATATATACAATCAGGGCTTAAGGTACTGGATGATATTGTATAAACTGCTAAAATGCTTCTCGGCACAATTGGTAGCTTAAAAAAATACTTTCCTGTGGTTTAAGGGCATTTTCCCATCACTGTCCTTCAGCCAGTACACAACCGTCTGAAGTGCCCAGTTTTTGTCCTCTAACTGGGTATGTACCATGTGAGTCATAGAAAACATGTCCTCTCTCCAGGCCAAGGAAGACTGGACTTCCCTGAAAGAACCCTCCCACTGCAATATCCCAGCCCCCAGGGCCATCGAATGAAAGTCATATGAAAACCTTGTCCCCAGTTTCAAGCAGCCAGACTACCAGCTTTCCCCAGCAGTCAGGGTCCTGGTCCCTTTGCTCTTCAGACGGTGGGCCATCCTGGTGAACATGGAAAACAGAGCCCATTCCATAGGCACAGCCAGCAGGTGGAGCCTCACAAAGTGGTGCTTGGCAATTTGTGGTAGGGTTTCCAAAGACAGACGTTTTAATGGAACTGTCTTAAATAAATAAATCTTTTTTTCCTAATAATGTAAAAAATAAATGATATTTCCCTTTGGCAGTAAATAGCTGATTCGACCTTTTGCCTGAAAGCAGAGTGTGTGTGTGTGTGTGTGTGTGTGTGTGTGTGTGTGTTTGTCCCTCTGTGTTTTTTGCTCTCTTTTAAAGACACCACAACTTTGTTTCCTGTACATCACTGACAATGCATATTACTTCTACTGCTTTAGTGAACCTTTTGCATATTTGTTTGGGGCAGGCCTGTGGACCTCACTTGTGGCCCAAATAGGCACCCAGGGTGATGCAGGCCCCTACCAGGGCCAGACTGAGCAGGGTCTTCAGAGACAGCCAAGAGAAGTCAAACAGGGGCCGCACACTGGGTCCATACAGTTCCACAAAGGCATCCTGCATGGGAGAGAAAGAAAGAAGAACATTAGCTATGGAGAGTACTCAGAAGGCCTCCTTACCTGTGGGGCGGAGTCAGCAGGCCCCAGTAACCCGACCATCCTCAGAAGGGGGGGGGGGCAATGATTTGGGAGACATGCTTTCTAACCAGTCAAGAAATGTTTATTGGGAACCTAGTTATATGCCAGTCACCTTAGAGATACAGCGGTATATAAAACAGTCTAGAAGCTCTTACCTAGTGAAACAGGATTCACACAAAATAAATGCCATAAACGTCATTCACTGTTGGTAGGGTTGCAAACTTCTGCAACCACTGTGGAAATCAGTGTTGAGAACTCTTAAAAAACTAATAAATCTACCAAGTGATCCAGTTATAGCACTCCTTGGCATATATCCAAAGGACTCAACATCCTACTACAGAGATACTTGCTCAGCCATGCTTGTTGCTGCTCTTTTCAAGCAGCTAAGGAATGGAAACAAATTAAATGCCCCTCAATTGATGAATAGATAATGAAAATGTGGTGCATTTACACAATGGAGTTCTACTCAGTAGTAAAGAAAAATGAAATACTGAAATTGCAGGTAAATGGATAAAACTAGAAATTGTTATATTAAATAAAGTAACAGACTCACAAAACAAGTGACATATGTTCTCTCTCATTTGTGGATCTTAGCTCCAAATCCTTAGATATGAGAATATATCCTGATGTGACCACAGGAGCCAGGAAAATGGAAAGGAACATGAGGATGAAGGGGAAAAGGGAGCTGGAGAGAAGGGGATAGTAGAAGACAGGTGTTATCAAGCAGAAAGTGAGGAAAATGGGGAATACTTTAACTAGAGGGAACAGGGAGACAGGAGAAACAATGCTTAGGTGGTGTGAAAAAACAGAGGGAAATGTATTAGCTCAAAAGCCTGAAACACACACACACACACACACACACACACACACACACACACACACACATCCACATGAGTGCATGTATACAGCTGAAGGCTATATAACAAAAACCACAGTGCCAGGCAGTGGAAACCTCCCTCCAATTTGTTGGTCAGAGTAGTCCAAGAGACTCCCCAAATAACTCAAGCTATTGCCATAGCCCTTGATCGCCTCCCAGACTTTGAAGGCAAGACCTTACTGCTGAAGAGGGACATATTTTGGATACAGGACTTGCAGCAATCAAGCTGGAACTTACATGGACGCCTCCTCCCTGAAGACTAGATCCTACAGTATCAGAAGGTACTGTGTAAACTGCCAAGGGAGAAAACTAATCAATGATCCCATCCATCTGTAAAGTCTATGAACCGCAACTGACCCAGGAAATAATCTCTATTGGTGCAGCAGTGGCACTTTTATCTTGGTGGTAATCAACAACTGTCTATAGTCACAGATTCTAGAGAAAAAAAAAAAAAACTTAATTTTTTTTTTTTTTGAGACAGGGTCTCCTTGCAGCCCCAGGTGGCCTGGAACTTGACCAGGCTGGCCGTGATCTCACAGGGATCCACCTGCCTCTGCCTCCTGAGTACCAGGATTACAGGCAGCTCAAAAAATCTACTTTTGTCACATCCCTAGGCCAATGTAATTTTTAACTGTATTCTAGATATGTATCCTGTATCCTTATATTTGCAGACAAGTGCACCTCTCATCACTCATCAAAGAAGCTTCTTTTTGCAACAGATAGACTATTACAAAGTTCTACAACTGGTCAAATGTAGGGAATAAGTGTCTGTGAGGTGCCCAGCCCTAAGTGATACATCTACAATGCAATCTCTACATCTGAGGCCCAGGGAACATAAAGGAGCAGGGAGCAGAAAGAATATTAATGCATCTTTCAACTCTCACCAGCAGTGCTTCCTCACAAAAGATGGTGATTAACCCAGAAAGCCACAACTGGCCAAAGTGCAGAGAATAAGAGACTGCAGAGTGTGTATCCCTGAGTGGGACACCTATATCAAACCTCTGACATCCGGTAGCCTCAGGGATCGTTGCGAAAGAGGGGGTGGAAAGATTGTAAGAACCAGAGGTGGTGAATGAGCACAAGGAAACAAGAGTTTTCCACACAGCTAGGGAGTTCTCATATGAACTCACAGCAATAGTAACAGCATGCACAAGACTGTGCAAGCTCAAGCCAGACAAAATCACAGCATAAAAGTGGGAAAGTGAGTAAGAAATCCCAACTCTAGCTGGGTAACTATTGGCAACCAATAACTACGGGGAGAGGGAGAGTCAGTATTCTCTATGGATGTGATATTAGATAAGTTAACCAGGCTACAGTGGATGGATGCATACTGAAGGACATTTGGGGACACAAACTTGGCTTGATAGGCCTTAACATATTTGACAGTACATGAAATCCAGTGGGGGCTATTAGAGGGGTGCAGATGGGGAGGGGTCCTAAATATGATTAAAATATACTGCATGAAATACACAAAAATTTAATAATAAATAAATCTCATAGAGGAAAATGTATAGGACAGTGCCCAGGAGAAAGGCAAGACAGCAAAGACATTAGAAAATATTGACAATTTTTCAATTTTTGCTAGCATGGGCCATTCATAAAAATAAAACATAGTAGAGACAATACCTACCACATGGTTTTATTGAATGCCTACTGTATGCCAGGCACTGTATTAGATGCCTAACATACACTGTTTTATTTTTCTTCATACTAGTCTTATGAAGTCATTTTTACTTTCTCCTGTTCAGATGATGGAAATCTTGCCTGCCCATCATAACAGGGGCCATCTGTCATGGGGCAGCTGTGAGGGAATGAGCACGGCTTGGCACAAGCCTGCCAAGATTGCAGGATGCAGTCTGATGAATAGTTAACGAGTCCATTTCTAGGAATTTATTTTTAAAAACCCAACTGAGTAAGTGGACAGGAATTTATGCCCAATTTATTTTGTTTATGCTGATAACATAAGCCTCTGAGAGTCACCAAGGTTAAGGAATATGCACAATAAATGACAGCCAGAAACTGAACCCAGGTCCAAGCTGAGGCCCTTCACGCTGCCTCCCCATCACTGGGATCAGAGCAGTGTGCACTGGGCCTGGCTTTTTTTACACGGTGCAGAGAGTTGAAGGCAGGTCCTCATGCTTGTGTAGCAAGTACTTTACCATCTCCCAGCCCAGCAATCATTGTTTTGAATTTGGCCTACACTTTACCCACATGCTTATCAGTCTAGTCCTTCCATATATAACAACATCTGAGAATCCTGAAGCAGACTAAAAGGGAGGGTTACAGTGGGCATAACTAGGGGAACTTCTCATACTGTTAGAGATTCACACAGCTATTTTTCATAAGTGCATAGTATCCTTTATCATACTGTAAACATTTTATAGTGTTTCAAACTTTAAGCACTCTAAACAGTATTATGATACACCTTTTTACATAAATTGTCTACCTGCTCCATTTTTCTTTTTAAAAAGTTCCTAGAACTCTGCTGGCTGTATCAGAGTTGCTACCAACAATTACAAAGAGCCTGTGCTGGGCCTTTCTTTCTACCTCAGTCCTCTGACCAATGGCATCTTTTGTAAATCTGGCAGTAGCGTAGGGTAGTGGTTCACCCTTTTGTCCCCCAGGTGACACTTGGAAACGTCTGAAAATATCATTTGAGTCTCATTATTTGCTATTGGCATCTAGTGGACAGACGTCAGAGATGATGCTCGGCATCCCACAACGTACATACAGCCTCCAAATAAAGAGCTCCCGGCCCCAAATACCAATGGTGCCAAAGCTGAGAAACCCCATGTTACAGATACTCTGAGACTGTCCATGTACCACATGAGAACAAACAACTGGCTGATCAGCAATACTGTTGGCCACATTAGCACTGGGCTGAGCTGCTGGTCCACAAGTGAATGTTGGGCATCTCTGGAGGGGCTAGATTAACTTCTGCCAGAAGGGGGCACAAAAGATTTCTCTTTTATATCTATTGTTAAAAATGCCTAAATTTGAGCCTCAGAAAAGCCAGTCAAGGGACATAAATGAAACATGTGCTCAGGGCTCTCAGTACCCAGGACAGGTGCTATTTGCCAAGAAGAGTCTTCCTTGTGCAAGATGAAGGATCACCAGGCAAGCAAAGGCAGAAGAAAGAGCACCCAGGCCGAGCACACAGCTGCCATGTCTAGCTGTCCTCGCCTACTTCCCTCACAGGGTCGAGTGTGTGAGCCGCACCCCCAGCCCAGCCCCAGACACCCCAGTTCAGGGCACTGATCTTGGACTGTCTGTAACTTGACTTCACATCAAGAGGCTCAGGCTGGTCCCTGAATTCCTTCAGTTTTCTGTGGCAAAATCTGAAGCAAACCAAACCATTGGCCAGGTGACTTTACTGGTTATGCAGCACCCTAGGAAAGTGGCAGAAGCAGAGCCAAACTCTTGGGGTGGGGTGGGGCATTTCCTCCCAGATTTGTCTGGTTCATACCACTGGGGGGATGAAGCAATGCATCTTTGGAGCTGGGTAATCCTCTCACTAACAGTGCTTTTATGCATTCTATGGTGCTATTTCACATGTACATGGTAAAGAAAAACAGCATTTTGAGAAGGGATGAGCTAAATCAGCATCTGAATGGGCAGCAGGGTTTCACCACCCCAGGGGTCTAGGAAGGCCTCTGAACTTGCAGAAGAGTCTGGGTGAACCCCCAGTTCTGATATTTTGTTAGTTTATGACCTTAAGCAAAGTACCCAACCCTGAACCTTACTGACTCCAGCCATAGCCATATTGGTGGCTGTGAAGACTTTAATGTTATGTTCCTTTAAGCCATCTGCCAGTCAATGTGGTCCAGAAGGGGAACAAATACCCAGTCCCCATCCTGTCCACACACACCCTCACCTTTGGTAGCTCCGCCCTCCTAAGGCCATTGCCTACCTGTTTCTGCATAGAAGCTACTGCTCAGCTCTCTAACAGTCAGCTTTGGCTCTGAAGATCATTGGTGATTTCTATAGTCATTTATGACTTATGAATATGGTCCACAATCTGGCTAAAGATAGAAAGTTGCAGT